ATGTGGAGGGTGAATCTTTAGAGAGCGATATGAGCAGTTCAAATAACTCGAAGAGTTATTTGTTGTTTGAGAAAAATGTTTCATATGAGAGTTATGTAGAAATTGATGTTGCAATTTTTCTACAAATGGACACGAATGAAACTCAAATTTGTTTTCTTTTTTTTTTTTTTTTTTAGTTGAAATCACGTGTTTTTTGATTTTTCTGAAACATTTTCTGAAGCGAATATATCTAAAAAGAATTTAAAAATACAAAATAAAACGAATATTATCGATTTAAAAAGTTGAGAAAGAAAATCATACAGAGCAATGAGACATAAAACAGATTAATAATCAGGCATGCGAGAAGCACATATCTTTTATAATTTTACTTTTAATAACTTTTTTTAAACGTATGGAGCAACAAGAATTTGATAAGTGACACAGAAATATAAGGAAAAAGAAAAGAAAAGAAAAATTCGCATAGAATAAATAAAAGAGAATGTAATAACAATTCTTCTCCAAAAACAACTCTAAAAAAAAAGGAGACACGTATTCAGAAAAATACAGTGCACTGTAGTATGTAATTTTATTTGAAATTCATAAACCACGCCTCTATTCATTTTCCTTTGAGAATCGCAAAACTATTTCTTATGAAATATGAAACTCTTGGCGGCGTGTAAGGGAATTTAATAAAAAATGATTCCAATATCGATAGCACGTGACAAGTTGAATTTCTCATCCCGGGCCCCCTCTTGTGCATGCAATTTCAAATTCTCGTTCCCGATCGTTCTCACGGAATTTATTTAAGATCTGATGAGAAACCAATCGAATCGAAACGGTTTGTAAGAGATATATCCGTTCCGGAAATATCCGCCGCTTTTCCATCTATACAAAAGCTTAACAGCTGAAAATCGGGGATAACGACACGTGTATAGGATACGCCCATTTTACCCTTTCAAAAGACCCTCCATCTTTTATCGAGCAATTGTTTAAATGCAGCATCCATGTACTGCGTCCGATATTTCACTTCGATCGATCATTGATTACTTACTCGGATGAAGGAGATGACTACCAATTAATAATTCATTATTTTTCTTATTCCGTTCGAAATAATGTATCTCTCATAAAATTATTTATAAAGTTAAATTTGATCGCAAAATTAACGTTCTTCTTCCATTCCTCGAGCCTAATCAACATACTATTGCTTATTTGAGTATCGATAAAAAAATCTCCTGTTCGAATGGCTAATTTCTCAATCAATGAAACGATAGAAGATAGAAGACGGTCCGATACCGAGTAAAATTCTCGAGAATCGAACCCGATTCCGTGCGAGCAAGATGAACAAACGCGAGACAGGGAAGGCAAACGACACCCGTAGACACCCGTTCACTTACCGATTGGCACGTTGACAGCAGCAAAGAGAACGACAAGGGCGCGATGGCAGAGCATTGTGCACTGCATGGAAAACGCGATGAATCGTCGTCGGTCGTTGGAACCAGCAGCTGCTCCTTTTATCTACTTAACCCTGTCATCTTTCGCGAGAACATCTGTTTCCAGTCCTCTGACGCATAGCATGCCTGAAACAAACCAGTGTACCATCCTTTAAAATACGTGTGTTTGATCGTTTCTACGTCCTTCTTCCTATCCTTTCCTTCCTTTCTCTCCCTTTCTTTATACAGAATAATAATCGATCACTTTGGAATAACTCTACAAATTATTTTCGAAGAAAACAAGGAAGAAGCAATTGTATCACAAATGATCTCGAGAATACGAATAATTTCGTAGAGTTAAAAGAAGAAAAAGAAGAAGAAACAAGAATAAAACATTTACGTTTAAAGAGTGAAAATTTCTGATAATCGTTCACGTGTATAAAAAAAAAGAAAAAAAATTTTCTAAACAAAGTCTTTTTTCTCTTCACGTTTGTAAGAATAATCATAGTTTATCGAGCCGTTCTATGCGCTACGTCCCCTCCCCCGTCGATTCCTGTTGACGAATCGAATTGGCAGAAACGGTGCTCGAACGCGTCTCTGTTTTGGACGAACGGACAGAAGGACGCCTCATCATCGGTCGGCCGCTTTATCGCTCGTTTCCACGTTGGCGAACTTTCGACTCGTGCACCCTTGCATCGCAAAACTGGCTACCCTAACCACTCCGTCGTTATCTGGCCCCAAAAGCTGCCGTTTCTCCTGGGTGACGTTCGATCCTGTTCCGCGGAACTTGACTAACAGGCCTCGGTCAAAGGTGAACTACGGCCGATGTTCCAGGGACGTGAGGAAGCTCTCGTGATGGGCTTTGTTTGCGGACCAAACGAGGTGTAATTGTTCCAGGGGATTTCGTTCGCTCGGATCTTGAGTGGGGACTTGGATGGACAAACACATATAGGTTTGTTACGGAGATTCGATTCACGAAATTAAGTTTTCAAACATTGTTCGAGGAGGATTGTTGTTTGTCGCCAAGTTTCAATTGGAGAACAGGTATTTTATTCATCGATTTTCTCGAATAACCAGACTTTATAATCGCCTTTATAATCGACCAGAAACTTTGATTCTTTGACGAAATCCAACTCGGAGGATAGCGGAAACAATGCTGTTTCGAATCTCGATTGACGAGATTAGCGCAGATAGATCCGAAACAAATAGTGAACGATTAAAAAATATCTTTTTCTTAGAGAACTGAAAAAGAGCGTTTCGAGGAGCAAGTTTCCGCGCTTTTATCTTTCATTGATCGAAAAATAAAACTGGCTTCGCGGTTACAACGATTTAAAGTTTTCCCTAATTTCAATAAGATTCGATCGAGTTTCAAATCACGATAAATATATTTATTTCTGGGAAAATATTACGACGATCTAATTCACGGTTGTAACGTTAAAAGTGGATGAGAATAAATCGTCTACATTGCGTCTACATTAGATAAGAAGAAAATCTAGTCGATATTCTTTCGAAATCACTGCGTCTGTCAAAATTTCGTTTCAATTTCGTTCCCAACGATAATACTACATGGAATTCTGTTCGCCCAAACTCGATCTCTATTCTTCCCAAACCGCGAAACGACCACGAACGCGGGGCACAGAGGAAGAAAAAAAGCAAACGATAACACCTATTGAAAAGAACAAAATCCACCACCTCCGGCGAGCACGTGTCGCGTTTGTTTATTCGACGAAACGAAAATCTGTAACGTATGGATATTATTCAAATTGTTGCTCGACATTCGCGATAACGCGAAATTGTTAATTTTCCATATTCCACGCGTTCACGACAACGCCACAATGTGCACACCATTGAACAGATTCCATTCGACCACGTGTAACGACGGGCCAGAGATATGGTTTCATCCTCTATAAAGTATTCGTAATTCTAATCTCTAGCGGTTCAAACAGTTGATGTCGCAATGCAAATCTCTCGAATCCGAATTTTTTTTTTCATTGAAAAAAATTCCAAATTAAGAAAAGTTTTGCTCAATTCGTATTCCAAAATGTCTTCTTCTAGTTTCTCCAAGTTTTCTTATATACGTATCTCGTTTCGAATATAAATAGAGGATGATACGATCTGTAAAAATAATTACTTGTTTTCATCGTGTCGAACTTGAATATATTTAAGATTTTTAAATGAAAGTAAAATGAAAGGGGGATTAGGAGGAAGATGTACGATTGAAAATAATAGTCCGTGTATTATACACATTTCGTTGTCGATACGACGATGTGACGATAAACTGTTAATTATCGTTGACGGTGGTTTGCTTTAAAACGGCATAAACAATATCAATATATATTATATTAAATATATATAACGGGTGTATGCTCGGATGGTTTTATCGATTCAAGCGACAATGATTTCAAAAGTGATCGTCGAAATTATCTGACCCCGTGGTTCACTGTGCTGCTTACTCGATTTGCGACCGAATGATTCGACGAGAGATAAACATCAGAGATACTCATCGATTTGATTTCTCGATTTTTATTAATAATAAAGAGAAAATAAAGGAATCGAAAAATTCTTTTTCTTTTCTCAAATATTATCTCATGCCATACTCACTAATCCTCATCTTCCATTTAAATGCAACGTAGATATGACAAATATAACCTGCTCTCTAACATTATCATCGAAAATCAGCCGTAACATTATCCGTAACATTATGTCACCACAATTTGACACTAGTTGACACACGAGTAATGATATATTGGATTTTCGATAGCGACACACGTGTCCAAATTAATTTCACGTCCAATCTTTGTACTAAAAAAAAAAAAAAAAAAAAGAAGAAGAAAGAAACAATAAGACACGTTTAATTAAATCTTCTGGAAAAATTTAATATAAACCACAAGCATAAAAATTTCAAGAATACCGTTCCATTATCTTGTATAAACCGTTGTTATCTGTACGCAATTATCGAAGTCACGATGAATCGAAGAAAAGAATCGCAGGATCTTGAAACGATTTAAGTCAAGTCGGTGTATATAAGATACACCGAGGGCAGAAATTTGCCAAGCACGTATACGATGAGAAAAATGTGGTTAAACGTGAATTGTAAAGCGTAACGTATGTACGGTGGAAGGTAAGTGACGGTGCGTTATACCGGTTGAATTATTTAAATTGTAACCGTACGCTCCGACTACAAATAAATTACGCGGTGAAATGTGTCGCGTGTCGGGGAATATAACACCTCGCGAAACGGGCTAAGTCCTGGTTACAAATATTATTGGTCGCGAAACGAAGATGGAGAAGACGATACGGCAAGTCGGTCGCGATTATTATGTTTATTGTTTTTCTAACAAGTGATAAGATATTGGAATGAATTCTCATCGAGCAAGAGACGATGGTATTGAGAGAACGATATAATTTGCATCGTTGTATTTTGTTCTAGCATAGACAAGGATGTAATAGAATAAATTTTTGTTAATTTAATTTTGATCAAATAGAACAAGATTCTATCTGAAATTTTCTATAATAATTAAATAGATATTGCTCGATTTTTTTAAGAATATAAATTTTTTTCTATAAATCTTAATGTTAATCTTTCGTTACAAAATGATATTTAAATTTTTATAAAAATAAATATGCATGCTGCAGATAAATATTAAAAGTGTGTTGAAACTTTTTTTTTTTTATGATGATGGAAAAAACAGTGTAAATTTAAAAATTCTTTTTCCTTTCTGCAAATATTAATCAATGTGTACGTGTTGAATTAAAATAAAATAGATAACAGAAAAGATTTTTTCTTTTTTTTTCTTTTTTTCTTTTTTTAATTGAATTCGAAATAAATAAATCTAAAGAATTTAAACGATGACGAAATTTTTGCTCGTTATTTTCATTTACTTCGTTTAATAAGTGAATACCAAGGATGGTAATCCCTGAATAACGATATGTCTCCAATGTACAAGCTATCATGAGACACAAGTAGCGTTATTTGTCGTGGAAGATGACTACGTTTCGTGTTACAAAGTGGAAATGGAGCCCGTTTGAACTGTGAACCTTCAAAGAAAAAGAAATCACGGTAACTTTATCCAACTATCGTATTCGATCGCCACTTTAAGCATCAAATTCTTTTATGATAAAAGGACGAAATTACGAGTGCCTTCAACGCTTCCTCACTTGAATTTTTAACATGGCTCAATTTGGAAGATGGAACCTTCCAAAATTTTTAACAATCATGTGAAAACATTCTACGATTTCTGCGATACACAAATTAAAATTATACCATTGCAAATCTCTCATAGTGTGGATCGCAAAATAATAACTCAACAATACTAAATTCATAATATCCAAAAAAATAAAGATAATAACAAAAATTTCGATATTAAATCCGACTGTTCAAAGACTCGACTATTCAATATCGATCGAAACTCAAGTTCAATAACAAAATTTATCCAAAAATAACAAAAATTCCAATGTTACAATGCAGCCAATTCTCCTCGAAACGAAAAACAAAAAAAAAAAAAACGGAAAAAAAAAATACGCTCGCGTTAAAAATGAAATTCAATTTCCACAATGGCTCAAAGGAAAATCGCAGAGGGGGTTTTTCCGTGGCGGTAAAAATTTTCTCGGCAATATTTGCGAAACCAGCTATATTCCTGTATACGTAGGTACGTACGTCTCCGCACCATGACGACGAGGCGACGTAAAATGCGAAACACGGAGCACGAAATGCTGCAGTTCGTTACCAACAAAGTAAAGCCGATCTATACCACAAACAGCACAAGTAGCGATGGCGGAAGCGGGCAACGAGTTGGCTCTCTTTCACGCAGACAGCTCGACAAAAAGGCTCGAGGCGGGGTTAACTCTAATTTACATTCTCGCGTACACGTGTACACCATTTACAATGTAACATACGTTGCTGGGTGACAAACTGCGAATGTCTCGACTTAACACCGAGGCGATTTCAAAAAGATAACTTTTTCTCCTTGCTGCTATTAAAAGAACATGGACCGTGTATCTTTCAATCCAGTCTTTTTTTTTTCTTCTCTCTTCTTCTTTTCTCTTACTTCTTGAAGTAGTTGATGATAAATATAATTGGTAAATATAATTGGTATAATTGGTAATGTTAAAAAATATTATTGATTCGAATCTATTTTTATTCTATA